GATAAACTACTAGAAGGACCGAAAACAACATAAGAAAAGACCTAAACGGGGGAAAATAAAGGCAAAACAATCACGAAGATAGCAATAAAAATGGGACAAATAGTCCCTCCGTGCAATAGAAAGATGCTTGTCCCAAGCACTTTAGAAAATAGATCAAAGTATATAGATCAAATCAGAGAGCAACCTCTTATTTGAACGCTCACTCAAACAAATAGAAACTAAGCAGAGGGTTCTCATACACTGTTCACTCTCGCACACTCATTGCCAAAAATCATATAGAGAGCTAATTTCAACTAAGTGTTTGCCACCCTTTATACTGTAATTCATATGGTAAGTTCATTCTTCAGCTGCTTCCCATAAATAATCACGTGTTATTTTTCGTCCACGTTCTTCACATTATCTTGCACATCTCGCTCCCATATATATGGTAAGTTCTTGCCAATCAGCGTATATGCCTCATTTTCCATCTTGCATGGCAAGTCACATTGTCTTCCATGGATGGTAAGTCCGTCTTGAGTTCACGCCTAACTCCAATCACATAATTACTTTCCCTACAAAATAAGAGAATCATTAACCCATATTTTCATAATCAATTATAATAATAAGGAAATAATATCAAGTCAACTTTCTTTGGACTTCTCGCAGATTGCCTTCTAAGATTTACTTAACGATTTGAGATTTTCGCTTTAATATCAAAATACATATTATTACAAAAACTTTGTAACAATGAAGGGGAGCTAATTCCACTTTCTGATGAGGTCATCCCAATGCTTAAAAGGCTTAGGCTTCTAGCGTTTACCTGGGAAATCCTTGATCCAGTCCAATAGAAAATTGAAGGTATCCGATGCAGGTCTCACAAAAAATGTTTTTGTCTTCCAAGCAGATACATTGGAAGGAAGGTCTTTGAAAAATTTGGCATGGTTCTGAGCTGTGAGGTAAAACTACCCCTTTTGTATCTTTAGACTATAACAGTAAAAGAAGAAGTCGGAGTCTACAGCTCAGATATGGCATCGACTTAAAATTACGAACTCTACCATAAGGCAAATAGAGTTCAGAGCGAAATGGTTCAAGGGAAGATGATAGAAGTGGCTCAGGCGGATCAGGTCCTTGTGCAAAAGAAACTTAAGGCTACTATTAACATGTTCCACAAAAAAAAGGTATAGAAGCCCGTAAGGGGACTAGTCAATGCTATCGCAAATGACGGGAGCTCGAAAAAATCCAAGACTTTGAGAGCTCACATTGGGGGTTTAAAAAAGGCCCTTTGCTCATGAGAAGGAATAAGGCATTAAGTTTGATTAGGGCACCGTTTTGGTATTTTTCTATGGCTACTTATTTTCTACGTCTTTCTAGCTCGACATGTTTTACAGGGACACCTTCAGAAAGGGGAAGGCACTTGGCCTGTTGAGGGTAGTTATCTATTGAGATCTTGAGTTCATCCTAAGGAACCTCACACTCGGGTTCGTCTATCAAATGAAGGGGCAACCTAATAGTTATGGTTATGTATTAGGATTTTGAATAATGGCTGTATAGGGGAATAATGGCTACAGAGGGGAACCCATCAGATGATATCCCATTCAAGTTAACATTATCCAGTGAGAAACTAATGGGATGGCTGGAATTAGACATGTTAGTCGGAAAATGTAAGAGAAAATAGGAAGAGAAAAATAGGGAAAAAGCAACTAAAAATATACGAATAATTAAGAGATCAAACTGAGGAGAGAAGATGGATTAGGGGGATGCTTACATACCCATAATATGTGCTTGTAGAACGGAATTTGCTTAGGGGTGAGAACCGCTATTTTTAATTGTATATAGTGCTATGATTGATTGTGTTTTACTGTTATTTTTAACTATGATGCATAAAAATGACAATAAAATTTTTATTAGCCTTTGTGAAAATGATAGCACCATGCAATATTAAAAATAACATTATACACAATTAAAAATAGCATCAAATATGGTTCTCACACCAGGACTAGGTTTCATTTGAACCAGCCCCTATATATATATATATATATATTATCGGTTTGAAATGGCAAAAAGGGAAAACGAAGGAGGATAATAACTTTAAAGGGTAGGAGAAGTGACTAAAATGACGTGTTATGAGATTTGTCGATTTGGGCCAGATCAACCTCAGAAGAGGAAAGAACATGTTGGGGGTTTCGAGGCGTCTTTTGACACTCGCGTGATTCGAGGCACATAAAATGCGGTATGCGGATTACGAAAAGGCATAGGTGGGAAATGAAATCGACGTATTATCGACCAAGCTATGTAATCTTGTCCTATAATAGTGGGGTCTTTAAAATCCTAGCCAAAGTCGCTCAGTTGGTTAGACGGTGTCCCACCGATCTATGTCTTTATCAAGCCTATGTATCATGTATAGCTGCAACTTTCGTCCACAACAATCTGATTTCCTGCCCATAACGACCGCTACATGTTTGTCTTCTTCTCCTATTGGAAGTCCACGCGCTAAGTCCTACGGCAGTTGAGTCTCTCCAATGTGTTGCATGTTATGTGGCTGTCTGTTATATTTTCTTGGGAAAGACTACAGTCCTGTTATGAAATTATTCCGTCAGGGTTTTTAACCGTTAAATACACATGTAGATTAGTGTAGGATGTATAGTATACGGTTAAAAATCTCGATAAAATGATCCCATAATGAGACTGTAGTCTTGCCCTATTTTCTTTCTCAGCCAATTAAGATAGTTCCTCCAAATCCTTTCTTGTTGTTTACTTCAAGGCCCTGCTCTCCTATTGGATTATTGGGCCTAACTGATTTTGGGCCTTAAAATTGCATCCGTGAGACTTGTTTCACTCATTAGATTCAAAAATTAGAAATTCTACTTTGAAACTTAATTGGGCTGGTATTAAGATTGCTATCAGGCCCTCTAATTCTCATTAATAAAACATCGCAAAAGACGTCATTCTCTCTCATTCATGAAATTACTTCGTAATGTTGAAAAATAGAACACAAAATATCAAAGTAGATAAATTTATTCAAATAATTATTAAGTCAAAAAGTATAAATGTACGACTAAACTAATTGTATAAATAAAAACACTATTAAACATATAAATAATGCAAATATGTTTAGACCTACCGGTGAAATTAAAAGAACAAAAAAAAGTATTCTTATCAATATAAGAAAATGATCAAATTCCAAATAAAAAAATGATCAACCATGAGAAGCAAAAGATCAACGTCACTTTTTACAACTTTTTGGTAGGCATTAGTAACGGCAGAGATTTAAATTTTTTCTTAAGTATTATCCAAAAATAAATCATCAAAATTCGAGCACCAAAACTTAATTGAAAATCAACGATTTGATCTGTCTTGAGAAGAAATACTGAGACAGTTCGGATCGGATTGAATCCGATCAGAAATGCTAATAATATATCTATTAATAATGTAAAATAAAAAACCTAAATTATTAATTCCAGTCACATTTGGAAACGAAAAAATAGCTTTTCAACTACTATCAATGTATTCCACGTACGTTAATTATATTTCGTACACATAATTATTTTGCCCTTTTATTCCTTTTGATTTCAACTACTAGCAATTTTACTCGTTTACTTTGAGGGATTAGATTGATAAGATGAATTGTCCCTCAATATCCCTTGTTTACATTAATTAATTGGGACAGGATTATATGAGTTGGAATCACATGTGGCGGCGGGGCCCACGTTGAAATAATGTGTTGGCAGATTATTTTCATCCCACCAAGAAGAGGTGATTAATTAATCATGCACTGTTCAAGACTTTTTTGTCCTCAAAACTGGATGCAAATGGACCATTGTACCCCTCAAAGTTGATTTAATTACTAAACACACCATAGTCTTATCCCATCCCTCAAAGTAAACATGGGACTAAATGCTGATATGTAAAGGTAACCCGATTATTTAGTCTTATCCCATCCCTCAAAGTAAACGAGCCCGAGGGAATTGAACAATGTTGTCACCAAACTCCATTAATAAAGTTAGAATTCACATACACAAATTGGTAGCCACAGCTGTGTAATGTGCGTAGACAAGTCTTATTTTTTGTTAAGATGAAGAAATTCTTTCCATCTACCATCAATAAATGCAACAACAGCTTTCAATTCCTAGCTAATTCCAATTTCAAATCAAACTTTTGTTTAAACTTCACATGGCCCAAAGATATTGCAGTTGCACATCACTTTTGTATTCAATTTCCTCAATGTGCATTACATAATCAGAAGGCAACTAAAGAACCATTAATGTGCATGAAGATGGTGATCACAGGCCAAACCACCTAACATTCAATGTGTGAGATCGATGTTCATGTGATATGTTGTGACATGTTACATTCCTTTTTCCACACTTAGATGAAAAGTACGTAAAAGCATATGGATAAAGACCAAGATTTAAATTAAAAATGATATAGTTATGAAGTGAATAAGATTTCACCGGGCTCCTTCAACTCGAACGGCCACCGGACCTGCAAGAACCCAACCCCGGGAGGGGTCCCGGCGTCGGGCCTCCGACGCTCAAGTCAGTATCACTCCAAATCCCAAGAGTATAATTATGAATGTAGAGAGAGTGACAGAATGGGATACCTTAGTCCCCTTTTATAGGGGGAGTGTACCTTATGGCCCAAGTTGGGCTTGCCCAATAGCCTCATGCCACGTGTCCTAGCCATGTGTAGGTTTATCCTTCAATATATTCCCTTTTTATCCATTAAAACCGGTCTAGTATAATATCCTATATCAAGTTATATTAACTCATGGATAGATCCTGCTAATATTGGAACAAAATAAAGATAAGGCGACCGTGTGAAAGGACATACATATATGCAATCAAATATAAATAAACACTAGCCAAAAGTAATAAAATACACAATTAGGTAGTTACACAATAAATTCAAACATCGCCTTAAAAATTCAAGTTGGCAACATTTCCTGCTCACCGCTAGCTGTGTCTCTCCACACACAATATATTTTATTCTGCCTTTTCATTTATATATACCAATTCAAGTTTTCAAACCACTTANAAAAAAAAAAAAGTTATATGAATATCACACTAACTCAAAAGACAGAGTTGTTAGAAAAGCAAAAGTAATATATCTACCAATGGCCAACAAGCTCAAAACCACCACCGACATTATCCACCGTCTCATGGTAGCCGCTGTCCTAGCGGCGGCCCTGCCTGGCGCGGCGGCGCAGTCCCCGGCGTTGGCTCCGGGGCTGCCGGACGCCACGGCTCCTTCCCCGGGGCTCGACTGCTTCACTTACCTAATAAAGCTTTCGGATTGCCTGACGTTTGTGGAGGGCGGGAGCAACTTGACCCGGCCCGACCCGGGATGCTGCTCGGAGCTGGGTAACTTGGTGGACACGCAGCCGATCTGCTTATGTCAGCTGCTGGGGAACCCGGGTCAGGTCGGTTTTCCTGTTGACGTCAGCAGGGCACTTAGGCTGCCCTCTGTTTGCAATGTCACCACCCCTCCGGTTAGCCTCTGTGCGGGTACGTGCAATTAGTTATTTGCTACCTACTTTTTCGCTTTCTAATTTTCTAGTTGCACTCTTATGATTGATGGAGTTTGAAAGGCGGATGTACAATTTTCATCCGAAAAC